ATAGTTAAAAAAATATATATTTCTTTAAAAACCATAAACAAGGTTTATAACAACGCACCAAGCCAAGCGCAACCTACTTTTTCTCGAAGTGCTACGTCGCTGTTTTGAATCCTTATAACTTGGGTGTGGATAATACTAGATAAACAAAATATTGGGAGTGTATTTTAAATAGTAGACTTTTTAAACATATTATATACTCTTTTACTTTAGATTTTATTAGTATCTAAAAATAATCGATTTCGTCACTGACTTACTGATGACCATCAAAATTCTTAGGGTACTTCCTGAACTCGATAGCCTGATTGCGGCTATCGTGCGGAGCGAAAGTGCGTGGAACTCTGCCGTCTCCTTCTGCAAGCAAGTTATGCTCGCGAAGGAGACCGCGGCGGGACCGGGAGAGGTTTAGGACTCTCCCTAGCAGAAGCAGGCCGGGGTGGCGGCGAGCGCGTTGCGAAGCGCGCTCGCTTCCAGGGAGCAGCGGGAACATGGGGTTCCCACACGGGGGGGTCGTCTACTCGTCTGTAGATGGCCCGAGGTATGTCGGGGCACCAGGGACTTCCTTTCTAGGGTATACCTGGTTCAACGGCTATTAGTACCCGAGACGGCGTGCGGTTTTAGTATAGGTGGTATCCGAGGGGATTTCCGCACGTAAAAAAAAAAAGTGACAAATTTATTTACTGTTCATTAATTTGGTGTAGAGTTTGTGAAGTTAGGGTTTGCCTCTACAAGCCCTAACTTCACTAACTCTTTAAGGCGTGTAGAGTTAAAAGTTAGGCTCTACCTGAGATGTGATAACTTTTTGACAGTAAGAGCCATTTGGTCTTGTCTTGGCAACATTTTACATGAAAATGTTTTAAATGGGATATAATTGTTTAAATCTCAAATACCTTTTTTTTTTTTTTTTTTAACGCGGGGAATGCTTTTCGCACCATACCCTCCGTTGGGGAAACGCAGGACGGTTGTGGGACTCCCGGAGAACCGGTCTACCCACTAAACCCCGCGGCGGCCTACCTCGGCAGTCAGGAGGACCTCCAGGAACGCATCGGCGGCTTCTGGAGTCCTCCCTGCCGTACCCCATGTCTGAGGCACATCCCGGGGTGACTGTAGTCACCCTAGGGCGGGAGGCTGCCACGCCTTTCACTACTGTATACAGTAGGAGGCGCAACAGCGCCCCGCCATGGACAAAACTTCCCGTCCGCACCGGAGTGTCGTCTGTCTCGGGTCGTTTGCAGCGGCCACATAGCCCCAAGATGTGGCCGAAGCGACCCTTAGGCGGCGATTGGGAAGCTAACGACCTCTGCCGCGTCCCCTTCGTCGCCTCCTTCGAGCGGGATCGGCCCTCTCCCGATCCCGCTCTGCGGCCTCCTTCTGGAGCATAACGTCCTCGCAGAAAGAGACCGCGGCTGCCCATCCCTCGCCACTAGCCAGCATTGCCGCGATCAATGCTGGCGGTGACAGGTTTCGTCCGATCTGTCCGACCAAGACTTGACGTTCGGACTCCCACGCAGGGCAGTCCTCCAGCGTGTGCTGGGCGGAGTCCCGGTCGGACCCGCAATGGTGGCATTGTGCCGTGACCTCCCGTCCAATTCGATTCAGATACTCACCGAAGCAACCGTGCCCGGTGAGCACCTGAGTCAATCGGTAGGTGACACAGTCGTTCCTCCCTACCCACGCTTCGAAGCTCGGCAGAACGGCTCTGACTGCGCGTTGGCTAGCACAGCCCTGGATTTCGAGCCGTGCCTGCCAGGTCCGCAGAGCCTGCGTATGTGCGTTCCGCCTTAGCATTCCGGGATCATGATCTGGCGCGGCCCCTTCACCATTCCGACCGACAGAGCGAACTTGGTCATAGACCATCGCGTCCATGTCTGCCAGAATGTCAAAGGGTGGATATCGCGCCAGGACCGTTGCCGCCTCAAACGAGATCGTACGATAGCCCCGTACGATCCGTATGGCCATCAACCGCTGCAGGCTTCTAAGTAGAGCCCCGCAGCGGGAGGCACCCGCCAAGTCTTTAGCCCAGACGGGCGCCCCATAGAGGACCATGGATCGCACGACGCCCATGTAGAGACGGCGAACTTCTTCCCGTGGTCCCCCGAGATTGGGCAGCAGGCGATGCAGCGCACCCGCTACCCCGCGCACTCGGGGGACTAATCGCTCGAAATGCTCTTCGAAGCGCCACCGACTGTCCAGGATGAGGCCTAAGTACTTCATGTACCAGCCCACCTGGACTTCAGCGTCACCCACCCGGAGGCTTGAGCTGGGTGGTTCCTGGCGCTTACGTAGGCCATGGAACCATATCGCCTCAGTTTTCTGAGGCGCCACTCTCAGACCCAGCTCATGAATCTTTCCCACGACACAAGCCACCCCCTGCTCGGCGAGCCGAAGCACCTCATCGAAGTGTGACCCTCTAGCCAGTATTAATGTGTCGTCAGCATAGCAGACGACACTGAGGCCAGAGGGCAGACTGGTGCGAAGGACCACATCATATGCGAGGTTCCATAACAAACACAGAGCCCTGGGGAACCCCGCAATACACCTCTCTCCGATTTTCCACCCCGTTCCGACCGATAAACTTCACAGTCCTGTCGCGCAGATAGGCCCCAATGACGTCCCGCAGGTAGAGCGGCACCTCGTGAAATTCGAGGGCCGCCTTTATCGCCTGCCAGGGGAGGTTGCCGAACGCGTTGACGATATCAAGGCTAACCGCCAATGCCACCCCCCCTGAAATCTCAAATACCTAGTTGTTGACAGTTGATGTTACCAACTCTGTATGTTTTATATGCTTCTGTTATTATCTCAATCAAAATTTGTGTAATATAAATAGTGATTTGCGATAAGATCATTCACTTTCTTCTTATTTCTAAGATAATATGTATTTATTTTAAGTGTAAGTGAGTGATTGGTGTACAATAAAGAATATATCAGTTATCTCCGTGTAGGCATCATGTGCTTAGAGATATATTACAGTTAGGGCAAACAATAATAGTATGGTACATTAAATAGGTATTAATATTCAAAATAATGTCAAGTTTGCATAATCTTATCCAAATATTAAAAGTTGTTTCGATTCAAATTTTAAATTGACATAAAAAGAATATCAATCGTTAATACTCATTTAAACAGCTGAATTAACTTCAAGATAGACCTATATTTATTTGTATAGAAAAAATGTTCTCGAAGGAGTTTTTAATTTCCGTTACGTCACTCGTCCAATTGGGAGGACGATTGGAAATCATTGAGGCATTCTCCACAACCTAGTTTTCTTTTCGTTTTACATTTTATAAAAGTATTTATTTTAAAATTTACCTTTTATAAAATTATTTGCTACACAATAAATACATTAATACAACATAACAATAAAACAAAATTACATTTTAATTTAATAAAACATTTAAAATATTTTCCAAATAGAGATTGTTAATCCATGATTAAAATCTAAAAATATTAATTTGAGGAGGTCCATATATATAATAACATAATTCAATATATCTCACTCAACATAATAATACGAAATGATCTATGTCATTTATTCATTCATTTATTTTTATTTCTCTTTACAATAAGTTACAATATCTTGAAAATAGAACAAGTATATACAATACAGTACCAGAAAATTACGTGAGAGACTGGTGCCTGATGTAGATTTATTGAAATCTGTATTACAGTCACCAGGGCCCTCATGCTTTAGCAACTATAATACAATGTGTACAAGTATTAAACAACCAATGAGAATGTATAAAAGCAATATCATCTTAATCTGAACAAGGCTAAAATACGAAAACCCCATAAAAATAAAAGGTAAAGTTAAGCATGAGGTGAAGTGTTAATAGAATAATATGTGTATCTGCAAGTGAGTTTACATTCCTGTGTAAATATGTGTGCGAGGATGTGTATGTATGAGTGATAAGTTATCTAAATCCCAACTACCTGTAGACGGAAGAGGTCTTAAAAGATTCTCCGTATTCGGATATTCTAAAGTTTTAACATATTTAGAAACTATTTCTTTGCATCTTTATTTGTAAAGTGCTGTTCAGTTTATTATAAAGGTACGGTCCAAGAAAGCAGAAGAAGTTATGAAAGAGTGTTATGCCGTTTTTAATTTCTTAGTAGTACAAACCTTACCTTTCCTTAAGAACTTGTCCTTGGGAATATTAGGATTGGAAGGCATCTCCTTATGTTCCCTAAGTATAGTATAGAATATAAATTACTGTCTCACGGTTAACACATCAAAATCTTTATAGAGTTGAGCTGTCGGGAATCGTAATGGCAGCCCTGTGCATATAAAATTACTTTGCGTGCAATGCGTTAAGGGAAGTTAACTAATAATTAATTATGATGAAAAAAACTAAAAATAGACAAAGGCATCCATTTTTCCACCTCTTGGCTCCATCAACAACATCTGTTGTTCCAACATTTATACAACAAACAATGAAAACCGTAGGGTTATCAAACCTCGAAATGTTGGATTCGACGAATCATATGAGCCCAAACTCTACTGTAGTTATTGAATAGGTCCTCTGTCCATCTACCGGCTCCATCATCAGACCATCTCTAAACTACCCAATTAATTACTGTCATCCAAAGTAAATATACATTATAACACGATGATTCATTATCGATCATCATCATCATCATCATCAACAGCCTATACTAGTCCACTGCTGGACATAGGCCTCTCCTTAGAAAGGAGGTTTTGGCCTACTATACCACGTTGGCCAGACGGGTTGGTATAGGGTTTGTTTCAAGTTTTCCTTCTCTTTGCAGTGCTGTTGTCCTGCTTAGTTTGCGCCCTTAGTCGCCTCTTACGACACCCACGGGATGAATTCATTATCGATACGACTATTAAAAGTAAAACTAACTTTTAGGATTCGATTTTATACAAGTAAAACTAATAGAATCGTGTTAAAAAGGGTAACATAATACAAAATATTTTCTTATTAAAGATGCATTTTAAATTTAATTCGTTCTTAATTTTATTAAAGTTCATATTATTCCACCAGGTGGCGTGGATGCACTTCGAGCAGTCTGCCATTCTGACGGTACACAACCACGTGATCACGCGCAACCCACGCGTGAGTGTGACACACGACAAACACCGTACATGGTTCCTGCACATCTCAGATGTACGCGAAGAGGATCGAGGCAGATACATGTGTCAGATCAATACTGTGACCGCCAAGACCCAATTTGGATATCTGCATGTTGTAGGTAAGGTCAAATTGCTAAATAAATATTTTATACTGTAAATAACCCAACAAAAATACTGTAAAAGAAGCCGCCGTGTTTCTGTAAAAAAAAAATCTAATAACATAAATGCCTTTACATTACTCGTATTTACTACTTTACTATTACTTTACATTTATAAAGTCCCCCGCGACACAGGATTTATTCCTAGTGCGGAAGTTGCCTTGGTTAAATATCGACTAGCATGAAGCTCCTAGTCGAGACGAATCAAATGAGCACAAACACGGCGGAATTGCTTTATTTTATTACAGAGTTCCCATGGCTATTTACCGTCTCCATCATCAGACCCTGAATATCACATAGGATCGGAGTCCTTATTAATTAGACTCAAACACATTCAAATTCGATGGTATTACATAATTTTGTTACAGAGATCCCATACTCCTAAACCATTTATCATCAGCTTCATCGTCAGCTCAGCAACATCAGATGGTGACCATTAGATGCAAAAATCTACATAGATTAAGATAATTTCTGATAAACAGTGTATATGCCTACAAAATTTGAGGGTTTCCCTCGATTTCCCCAGGATCCCATCATCAGATCCTGACCTGGTGACAATAGGACCACCTCTGACGTATGACCTACCAAATAAAAAAAGAATTATTCAAATCGGTTTATAATTGCCGGAGTAATCGCGTAACAAATATACAAAAAAAAAAAAAAAAATACAGTCGAATATAATGATAATACAGTACAAATATAGTACCTAAAGTAATTAATGATGAAACTTGTCTGGTAATCGTATAACTATCAAAATCGACTCGAATATATAATATTGCTAAAACTGAAGAAAAGGGAGTTACATAATTAATCTCTTTGCGTCCCTTTTGGCATTGTATCATTTCACGAACACCTGAATGACATGACATGAAAAGGTCGCAGGCTTTAGTTAATAACAAGAATTAATTATAATTTTTAAAAACCCCCGTCTCATTAATTTCTTCAACGATTACATAATAGCTGATTATCTATGAAAGAAAGAACAGATTTTCAGTATCATCTACCAAACAATAAATTATTGTTGAAGAAAGTAAAATTTTTACACTGAATTTTTACTTTGAGATACTATAGAATTTTCAGATATTAAAGTGGAGGTAAGCTTAATGAAAATTTATAACTTTTGACTGCTTCGTACTACGTTTCAGTTTGAAGTTGCCATGTTTTGAAAAAGACACCGACTGGTGTACCATACACCAAAGCTTCTGTCAATTAGATAAGCATAAGTAGGTAAGAACCTATTGTCCAGTAAGAAATGGTTTGATGCTCTTCAACCTTGTCGGCTGATCTTCATAAATTATAGCTAATAACCACTTTGATCACATCAGCTATAAAAAACACAACCCTCTCATATAGATTGTATTTATCCCTTTATAGGCATTGTTCTCTCTGTAAGTCGTTTAGTAATAATTATCATACTAGTTAAGACTCAATAGATGAACACAAATAAACACACACGTCAAATTGATAACTATAATTGTGTATAATTTTTGCGTCCGGGGTTCATACTTACTAGAACTCAAAGCCCAAAGTAAACCTTTAGTTACCTTTGGTATTAGGATGATTGATAATTTAGTTGAAGAATGAATTGGAAAATAAACGAAGTATTCTCTTTGTTTTTAGTGCCACCGACTATCGATGACTCGTTGAGTTCGAGCGACGTCATCGTCCGAGAGGGTGCCAACGTCACTCTGACGTGCCGCGCTAATGGCTCTCCTAAGCCTACCATCAAGTGGAAACGGGACGACAACTCAAAAATCTCCATCAGCAAGGGCCATTCTGGTGACATATCTTATTTACGCTTCATCTTTTTTAAACTTTTTGCTCAATATTAATCGGTTTTGTACTTTTTTTAGTTTCTGAATGGGAGGGCGAAGTACTAGATATGGCGCGGATATCTCGATTGGATATGGGTGCTTATTTATGTATTGCCAGCAATGGTGTGCCACCAACCGTGTCCAAACGAGTGAAAGTTAGCGTTGATTGTAAGTATAATTATTTATATCCAGAGGGAACATTCTCTTTACATTTACACGTATAAAATTCGACATAATAGATAATTAAAATTAAGAATCAGATTTATAGAAAAAATAATTAGCAAAATAATGTCTGACTTACCATGTTACTAATCCAAAATAATTTTCAGTTCCTCCAATGTTATGGATCCCTCACCAATTAGTCGGAGCACCACTCTTTTACAACGTAACTCTAGAATGTTTTACCGAAGCTCATCCGACATCTTTGAATTACTGGACAAGAGATGATGGACATATGATTCACGAAAGTTCTAAGTACCATATGGACAACACCGTGGGCACGCCTGCATACAAGACCCATATGAGATTACTTATTAGAAATATTAACACTGAAGACTACGGTACTTACAAGTGCATAGCTAAGAACCCAAGGGGAGAGTCTGACGGAACGATTCGCTTATACAGTAAGTATACCTAGGTTTAGTGATGCCGTTGTAAATAAAATATCATTAAGATTTAAATACGATTTTGTATTACATTAATTTTTCGTTTTTTGAATTCTGTACTCAAGAAATTTAAAATGAAACCCTTTAAATCACTTTGTTGTCCAACTCATCAAGACCCTACTCCTCTGTTAAATATTTTAAGAATGACAAATATCTCTTAGGACGTCGCGGCGCGCGGATGACCTATGACCCGTTACTGTCGCGCCCTTGAACTAGTGACCCAGTCACAGCTGAGCGAAGTCATTATTACCTCAATATCTACGTTATTTTATAATTATATTCAATGAAATAAATATATTTGGAATCCCTGATATATATTCTTCTAAATGTTGTGACAGAGACGCTACCGCGTAAAAATTTGGTGTCACAACTGTTGTGACGGCGACGCGTAGGAGGATATCATTTTCAAACTTCCTCATCCAAAGTCAGGGAGTCCTGTAGTCTTAATAACATTCTCGGTAATACAATAATCAATATTAAATGCAATCACTATCAGACTTCAGAACAGTTTATTAGTTTCAAGTATAGTACTCCTACTTGTAAACATATCTGAAAAGATTCACTTACAGAAATAAATATTATTTATCACTAAACTAGCAACGTATGAATTACAAGGACTATGAGAATATAAATTAATCTATTCCTCTTCTTTATGACTGCAATCGTCACACAGTTCAATAGACTGGTTAAAACTACCTACTTTTATTTTAATTAAGAAAACCAGCAGCTATACCGGCAAATAATATAAAAATAATCAAATAACCAAGGAAGGCCAATAAAGACAAACTTCTATTATATATTACTAGATTCGTAAACGTTCAACGACAATACAAGGAAAAAATCAATTTACATGTACATATATCTAAAGGCAAATATTACATGTGCACGTGACCATAGAGCCTTCGAATGTGAATTGACGTGACTAAAGAAAGCTTTCAACTTATTACCACATTTTTCTTAGTATTCAAAAACTAAAACCTTGATAAGTGTGGTTCTAAAGATATTTCTTCATCCACAGCTTCGTCACCACCAACAACCACACCGGATCCTCGAGCCATTACCCTACCACCTGCATCGAAACCTCCGCGACGGGACACTCCACTCACTGATAAAGGTTGGTTCAAATTTACATTAGTTTTTCTTGTTCTCTCTATAAGTCCAGTATATTAAAATCCACTACATTGAATTACTTTCCACATTCTATCTGAAGAATAGGCTATTTTTTCCCGCCATGAATGAAACGTAGTATGATTCATTATAGGCGATTGGCAACAAACACGTGTTTTGCGTAGGCCAAACGCACTTAACGTGTTACCACTACGAGGGCTGCCGCATACGTGCTGTACTTTACAGTTTACTAACTTTCTTAACGATATCCCTATCCTTCTGGAATAACTCCGGGTTCCCTAGAAAAAATAAACATACGATTCAAAATTCTTAGATGTTATCTAAGAACAAGTCATAAAGTACTAGTAGAAGATGTATATTTATTTTGCTTAGATACACTCTGTATTACACACATACATAGTAAACCAGTAACGAAATATTATATTCGGATTCAAAAGGAAAGGATTATTCAGAAGGTGTAACCGCTGTACGACAAGTCGTAGTTTTGAATTGAATTGTTCTAATCAGTGATAATTGTTTCTAACAAATGGGAATTTATAGAGATACTTTTAGTTATAAAATAATTACATGTTAATTGTATTCAATTAGTTACAACTTATTTTTATTCCCATTTCACCACATATTCTTAATGCGTCCCAAAATTATTGACTGAAGTAATTATCATATATGCGATAATTTTCTGATGTAATCTACTTAATACGGTCACATAATTATTGATTGTTAGCAAAGAGAAAGAAAAAAACGTTTTATCTTATTTACCTTACTTATAATATTAATATATAACGTCGCCCAATTGAAATTCCCATTCAATTCAGCGGTTCAATTTAATTACAAGAACCAAAGCAGCGTGAAACGAAATAATTAACTCTACAGATTCACCGAGCCGCAAGGATAATGCAAATATTTTTAATTTCAGTAATATACTTATTTGAAAAAAGTAAGTAATACACTCATAGCAAACGTAATGATGGAATGAGTTCACCAATTTGTAATATCGACACCAATAAATGCATCGATATAACATTTTTATGGCACCGGTTTCATTTATTAAGATATAATATTACCTTTACGAGCTGTATCCCATAAGTCCGTTCATTTTGTTTTCATTGTATGTTGCTGTTGCAGTTATTATTAGTGGCCGTTATATTTGTTTATAGTTCATAAAGTGTTACGACGATCTGCTTGTCGCCAGTCGGTAGTTAGCTAACTGGCTCCCAATGTTATGAGGCCTCGTAAACCATCTACAAATCGTTTATAAACAAAATGGTTTATGAAGTGTTGCCATCATTCTCTTCGTATCAAGATACCATAAAATTTGTTTAATGTTCGTTTCATAGGCGTAACTTTTTAAATACAACATAGTTAGAAATAATTTAAATATTATGATTTGTTTATTTATGTGAACTTGTAGTTATAATAAAACTTAATCTATTTCCTTAAATAGTTAAATAAACAGTTTTCAGTAAACAGAGTAAGACATAATCAGATTATATATTAAATCAATCAGTTTAAGAACAGAATAAAACCTCTTTGTGCCCAGATTTGCTGACACGATGATGATAAAACCACGAGTATGTGCGTGTATTGTAATATCGTGGTCTCATAACTTGTTTGGTTCGCGTCATTACTCTAGCGTTATTGGGAACTTGGGCATTTCGCCGGCCATGTTGTCGGACAACATCTTGCGCGACAACCTATTACAGACAAGTGCTCTTTTCTTCTCTCGTGTTGGAAACTTTTAATAAACTTCTTAGGTGTGATAATTGGGGCATGTTGCAAGGGACAAGCATTACTGTGTCCTCGGTTAGAATTATATAATTCTAATTTAACTAAATCTTGCGTTGTTTTGTCTTTCACATTGATGCTAATATTCTTTATTTAATATATATTCGAAAATAGGGTTAATTGGGTTAGCCAAAAAAAAATATGAATAAAAAATAAAAATCGGTGTTGCTTTTTATGCTGTAGCAAATAATGCAATATGAATGTATTAGATTAGTTTATTCAGACAGTACTGGACAATTTCGGAGATAACATAAACATCGTGAATACGCAATATTACGAGTATATTCTTCAATATTGTCATAAAATAATGATTTAAAAAGTTCAAATTTTAAATTACAAAGTAAGTGTGTTTAAAGTACTTAACTTTTATTGGTAACACTTTATAACAGACGTATACGATATAGAATAAAAATACGCAAGTATAACATGATAGTTAAATCTATAAATGCTTAATGCTTGTATTCTTTGATCCTGACTGCAAAGGCCATCTTGGTTGCTCCCATACACCTACTATTTCAAATAAACCGACGATGAAAGCTAATACATTTATAGTCAACTGAGCTCCAAGATATCATTTCAATATGTTCGCACGAACTTAAAAAGCCCATTTATGGGTCGCGCTGGCACGGGTATAACTTTTGCGGCTGGTTGTTTTTGTGGCGTGGTGTGACGGCGGCCGGCGGAAAACGTCCACACTCTCGTTACTGTTTTATTTTTTGCAACCATTACAAATTTACGGCTGGCCCCAGCTATTCGACAATATTGCGCAACTTTTCAATAACTGCTAGCCGGGCCGCCAGCCTTCGACCGTCCCCTGCCATATTGAATCCTTTACCCAATCATTTCATCATTTTGTCCTTTTTCCTTTAAACTTTAATCATTTTCTACTTTTGTTTTTAAAGTTCACCTATCTTTGCCGCAGGTACTAAATATCAGTCTAATCTGAATGAAATCGATAAGGGGAAACAGAAAACGGATGAAGGTGGCGGGAAAACGCCTTTGAACTGGGTTGGTGGAGCATCACAGGTTACAGGTGCGTATTTCACATAAATTTTAATTTTACTTCCACGTTTCTACAATATTGTATTTCGAATATTCTATGTAGTAGGCACAGGAAGACAGCTCCTTACTATGAATTTTAAAATGTTTTACAAAGAGTCAATCAATGAAACTACATCGCATTTTGACGTATACAAAGAATTACTTATCCCTTGAAAACAATCGGTACAATTTAACCAATTACAAAAATGAGATTTTTTAATTTGGCGGTTTTTTTTCAGGAATTTACCAATATAAATAACTTAACATCTGAATCTTATCTAAATGCAAATTCTGATGCGAATCGTTGACTTTGGACATACATGAATAAAGTACAATTATTATTATTTTGTGAATACACATTTACGTTCACAAATACTTATGCTGAATAAAGCCTAATGAAGAAATAAAATGATAAAATATTGTTCTCAGGTGACGATGCTGACTGGAGGAGAAGCTCGCTGTGGGTTTTAGTTCTGCTAATTATTATAACATTTTATTTTTAATATTGTAATCTATTTATAATTTACCTAGACCCATTGTCCAATTTATACAATTAAACGGAGCTTGGCTCATCACAGGTAGTGCAAATAAAAGGTAATTGTTTTAAATATTTTATTTTCCGACACCAACGCGACGACAGTTTAACATGCGGATGCTACTTACCTAGTAATTTCAATCTAAATCATTTCTCGGTAATAATTTACTAAATGCGTTAATTATTGCCTCAACTTTATTCGGTTCTTTATGAATGTATTTCTCATATACTCTAACGTATTCTGTTTTCAGCAAAGAAATGAATCCTTCTCAGTCATATTCCTTTATTACAGTACAAGAATTCTGGAAAGACATATTATCCGTACTTCAAATATCTAGTCTATTTGAAGTACGGTACGTAACTATCTGCCATTGTTTGTGACCTAACTACAACTCTGGGTAACATCTCGCGGTTATTATTATGATCTACGTGATTTCGGTATCCCAATAACTGATAATATGGTTGGTTGATCTTATTATTTATAAATAAAGATGTGGGTCTGGCAAAAGCTTCAATGACAAGACATTATTGTTTTCTAACCCTCAGAAGAAATATGATTTATATAGAACACCCAATGATGTGTAACAAGTGAATCTTACAAGCATAAACGGGGTTTAATTGTTAAATAGAATGTTTGGTCATCAAAATTTTCTGAAAACGAGCTTACAGCTTCGACCAAAGACTAACATCTACCGGTTACATTAAAAATGTCACATATTAAAGTAACACCTATGAATTTATTGTCTTTGAAACAGGTAAATTAGATTAAATAACAAATATTTAAACGTAGTCACATTGCCGTCGTTATATGGTATATTAGGTTAAGAGGTTTAGGTTTCATAACCAAATGATATTCGTAATTACTGTAAGCGTTGTTGTTATGTATAAACTAATAAAGCATTGTATGGACAACAGTTCCTTAAACTTAAACTTCGCGGCTAAGCAGAATTTCATGTTGATAACAATCGGAAACCTTTATTTTGGAACACTGTCTTAGTGGTATAATACTGCTCAGCCGTGGAAAATATGGAATAGAGAAATTCACAGCACATACATTATTATTAATAAAATATTATAATACAAAGTGCACTATTATCATAGTTACTGATTTTAATAAAATATAAGAATTAGATAGCGTAAGACTGAATGAATTATAATATTGTGTCTTTAGATGATATTTATATTGTTTTGTTGTGCTTATGTAAACCTCATGTTCGCTGTGATAAATATTTATTGAATTGACTAAACTTCAAAATTATAGTATTTAACATACTATACGTGGAAATATTCCTTCTTAGGATCAGTTCAGATCAGATGGCAAATTACTCGAGCATAAATAAACTTGCACCTGTCAAATTGAACTTTTTTAACAATTGAACGACTCCTACTCGTTGTAATTCAAAAATACATACCTATAATTGGTGTAATGGAAATAAATTTAATTATAATATAGATAAATACCAAAGATGTTCTTATCCTTATCTGAACTGACCTTTTTATAACATACCGTAGCGATTGTAGAACCTATATGTATTTCTATATGACTCCTGCCTACAACTTATTATATTTTGACGGTTTAAGTAATCGAACACTACAATGTGCAAGTATATTCCAAAAGATTTCATCACAAATCGTTTTAAGACTTAGCATCTTGCATCACGCCGTACCGAATAAAGAAAAGCCACAACTGCAACGCCTAACTGCTCAAACGAGATAGGCGTCGTTGGATGATGCGCTGTGAAGTGTGTAAATTACCTAATTAGTGTTGCAAACCTTTTCATGTTTTGTACATCTTGATTTGTACTTTTTCTTTTGTTATAAAATTGTTTGTGACATATAAGATAGATTCTTTGCAAATCCAAATTTCTTCTGTCAATTACACCTAGTTTAACACAATAACATATTTATGTGTAAATGTTACCGTTAAACGTGTTGCCAAATTGCTAAATATAAGATATGCCACATAGATAGAAATGTTGTAAATGTATCTATTAAGCAAAAGTCACTAAGCGTGTTTTTAAAAGCAGTTTGTATTGAGCGTGGACAAGACGATTGTAACATACTACATAATTACACGTAACGATACTAAGTATGAGTAGGATAAAACTAAATAAAGCTTGTTTTAAACATCTATCTTTTAATATCATTAATCGAGACACCTGTAATAAAAAAACAAGGTAAATATTTAACAAAAGTTAACATTATAATGTTTTTAAGCACTAACAAACGTAACGTCGTTACCTTACGTCACAGCTGTCAATTTCTTCGAAGTAATTACTGTTACACAAGTAAGTATTATTTTGCATTTTCCAATAAAAATTAAAGGTAGGTTTTTTTATTGAAAAGGCGTTTGATTAAGGTGTGTGTGTGTGTGTGTGTGTGTGTGTGAAAGCAGTTATTTCAGCTCAATAAACTTCTTCGCCGTTATTGACAAGATCGATAAAGTATAATAATTATTTGTAGGTATACAGTGCCTACAGTGGTCAAGCCTGATTGTGGATTCTTCATAATAATTTATTGAAATACGATAACAACTGAAAATAATAATTCGAGAGAACTAAACTTAGTGTCATATGCAGACATATTGTAAATAACATGTTTTTTTTTCATATTTAAGAATATATTTATATATAATTTTTTTAGAGTTTATAAGCGTTCCAGATAAACATGTAGTTTTACAAGTATGGAAGTTCAACCTTTACTGTAAGTATGGCACAAATATAAATATATATTATACACACACTGGCACAAATATAAATATATATTATACACACACTGGCACAAACCATGAATTAACACTACTTTTTCTTAGTAGATCGAAATGAGGTAGTTGTAACACTGTCTCAAGGGACATTGTAACAACTACCTAATATTGATGGATAATCAAGATGGTCACTTTCGATTACTTTGCAAGGCCTTGCGTACTAATAATCAGGAAAAATATTAAAGCCAAGCCAATCGTTGGTCACATTTTAAAGAGCAGCAACAGATAGACAGACAGACAGCAGTGAAATAATCGAAACTGCAATGTTGTTTTCGTGAGCAAGTTTACTCTGTTAGTCAAAAGCAGTGTGTTTTTAAGGAAATCGCTATTTAAAATATCCTACAGTTCCTTTAAAAGGGAGAAAAATGAAAATGTCGCAAGTACATCATTATAATTTCCTAGTGCTATAATTATCAATAAAAATCTGTTTCTCTACATGAATACAAATACAACTCTAGCAAATTGCTAAAGATTTAATAACAATAAAAAAAAGTCAGTTTCAAAACGATTTTTACTGTCAAATATAATTTCAATTCTCAAAGAAAACATTTAAATATTTTCAAAATGCCTCGAGATATTTAAAGATGTTGCTAAAAATAGCGAGACAGTAAAAAAATAATCGTATTTGAACCTGTTTTCTTTCAAAACATTCCAGAAGGTCCTTATTTAAATTATTATTGCGCAAAGATAATTTTCTTACAGACATCCAATTAAATTTTTCACGAGACGCCAGTGAGTGTTGAAATAAATTATGTAGAGAAAGTTTTCCCCCCGTCATATTTTGATGGACCGAAATGCTTGCAAACAATCTGCGGCGAATCTTTGAAGATTAGGGCCGGCTTTGAGGCGCCGAAAAGGCTCCAACAACGTATGGCCGAAAGCCAACTTGTGTAAGCCAATGTAACTTCTTTTAAATGTGTTTTTGATATAAAGAGCAGATTACCGTACGCATTGCTTTCGACTTCCAAATCCTGAACTAAATTAGATTTTGATTTATAAGGCTTTAAATTTGTTGAGTTAGCAAAACTGTGTACCCCTCTACGTCTTTAGATACATTACATGAATAATAATATGTTGCTTTTGTTACATTGTTATGCGCTGAAAAGACAACATGCTCTAAAGTGTACATTCTAGGGTTTCTTTTATCAGAATCAACGATTAGACATGTAACAAGTAACCTTTGAGAGCGATGAGTTCGGAACCCATTAATTAATCTGGTTTACATAAAGATCCATAAAAATGTGGTATACGTAGAATGCTGGATAGGTGAAAACTATTGTGTTTAACAGACAGTTAAATACACCTTTAATGAAAGTAAAAAAAGAAATGGCCCTTAATATAACATTCACAAAAATTTACATGAAAAAAAAACAATCTTATCCTAAAACAAAAACAGAAAAACACCATATTTTAGAATTTTCTCAAATAGTGGTACCTACTTCATATTATCTCTACTATTTATCTATTTCTGCATCTATATGCTTTGGTATGTTATAAGCTAATCACCGTTTCCCATATAATTTTGGGGAACATACTCTTATTCCTGTATGAGATACTTTGCTCTCTCGAAGCATACAATTCGGGTATCGCCCGAGCTCGGCCCAGGCATGCTATCGACAAGTATGCTATCGTATTTTGATCGCTGCATACAGTTTATGTTAACCTCTTGCAGGTAGTCATTCACAATCCGACTCGGAATCTTTGCCCTCGAGCGCATATATATGAAGTTTAATACAATAAAAAGTGAAATCATTATAAATAATGTAATAACTCATTCATAACATATAATACGTTTCAAAAGTGGAGTGTAGTGTATCAACTGGTAATAGCTTAGTACAAGCAATAACGGATTGACCGCATAACGTCTACACAAAGTTAGTTCAGTTAGTTTTTCTTAGCTTTACTAGCCATATCTGCACTTCAGCCACAAATGAATATTCGTGCTGTACTATTTTTAACTAAAACTATTACTATGTGTTTTCCCTAAGGCCGCTAGAATTAAAAACCAATGCCGCCTGTATTCTACCTACTACAGACCTTAACATTCACTTTCACGTTCATTTATTTTTATACAAGGATAATTTCAAAGATCTACCAGGATATAATAAAATTACGAAAGTAGAACTATTTTACAAATAATAGCGTTAAGACAAACGGCCAACTTAACATCGTAGCTGACAGCCAGCCCGTCCTACAATAACAAC